CATCTCACAGCAGATGCCATGCTTCCCTCCCTCTCACGATCTTCCTACTTTTTCTCTTGGGAAGTCCTCTGAACCTCAAGTGTAGGGTTTGTGAAACCAGCTCTCACTACATAACCCTGGCTGGCATGGCATGGCTGGACTCCTAGAGAGCCACGGGCCTCTGCCTCCCGTGTGCTGGGATTGAAGGTGAGCACCATCATGCCTAGATGTTAATGTAATAAGAAATAAAGTGTATAGACATGCCTAGTATTTATTTTCCTAAGAATGGTGCTACCTCCTAAAAATGAGAGAAATTATAAGAAGCAATATTCCCTAGTTATTCATATATATATATATATATATATATATATATATATATCCACAAATGGATCTAAATACTATAATTCTGGTATGGATAAGCTTTCAAGATCCCAAAGATACATTGTTAAAAATATGTATTTTAAATAAGAACATTTTGCTTCCCCAATTCCACATTAGCATTCACAACCTGGGATAATGACACCGTTACATCCGATGCTTGGATGCATAACAGTAATAATGGAGGCGCCTCACCTTGTGGCCTCATGAACTGCAGGGTCCTCTGAAGACTCTATGCTTCTGAAAATATTTTTTCAGTCTCTTGATATCTTATTTTCTAAAAGAAAAAGAAAAAAGAAAGAAACCATGTTTCAATGTTTTATAAGATTCTATTTTATTTATTTATTTATTTATTTTTGGTTTTTCGAGACAGGGTTTCTCTGTGTAGCTTTGCACCTTTCCTGGAACTCACTTGGTAGCCCAGGCTGGCCTCGAACCCACAGAGATCCGCCTGGCTCTGCCTCCCGAGTGCTGGGATTAAAGGCGTGCGCCACCACCGCCCGGCTATAAGATTCTATTTTAAAGAGTAAAACTGATTCCAAGTCTTTTGGGGGGCTCTCCTGCTTCACCTCCCAGATCTCTTAGCAGCAGCAGCAGCCCTAGCTAAACTCAGCTTTCTTCCTACCCCAGTAGCTAAAGAGAAGATTGGAGCTAGAGATAGCAAAGGTCCTTGAGTTACTGACATAACTTTGAAACTATGACCTCAGATTTCTTTTTTTAAAAAAATAATTTATTTAACTTTACTTTATGTTCATTGGTGTGAAGGTATCAGATCCTCTGGAACTAGAGTTACAGACAGATGTAAACTGCCATGTGGGTGCTGGGATTTGAACCTGGGTCCTCTAAAAAAAAAAAAAAGCCAGTGCTCTTAACCACTGAGCCATCTCTCCAGCTTCAGACTTCTAATGGTTCCCCAACAGTGTGTTTGCTAAGTCATACTTAATTTCTGTATACAAATACTTTGAATTTCCACTCCCCCACCCCCACCCCCCGCTCCTTCCTATCTGTTTATTCTCAGTTTATGTTACCTCCTCTAGAGAAATTAAGGTACCACAGTTCAGGTTGCTCTATTTCCTACCACCGTCTCTCCTTGCTTCATGGGTGTCTCTGAATTGTTAACCTCCAGTCCTATCATACAGAGAAATTTCTCTCTGCTACCCAAGAATAAGTTCTCCTCTGAAGTCTATGACTCCATTTCCTCTCGCTGTTACATCTTTACTGCTGCCATTATACCTTTTCCTTCTCACATCATCTTATCCTCCATTTTTCTTACTCATTAATACCCACGTGTAAGCACGCTATGAGACCTCCAGCCTCACAACACACATTTTCTCTTACAAGAGTTTCTATCTCACAATCACCATGTTTCTGCATTCCATTTTTAAAAAAAAAAAAAATCTAAAAGAAGGGCATTCTCCATTTCTCAGCAAAAAGTCTACATTGAACTCATTCGAACTAGGTTTCTTCTCGACTGCCTCACAAAGACATGCCCAGGTCAGCAGTAAATGTGAGCATTACCAAACCACCAGAGACTTCTCGGTTCTTTACACCCTCAAAGCCCAGTTAAATGTGACCGAGCTCTTTCCTGTCCGTTCCTTGAATCATTCATTTCATCACTTGGTTGAGAAGTGAGGCTGCAGGCTCCTGGCTTCTGTCCTCCCTCATTTACCATCCTCCTCAGCCTCGTTGCTTGATCTTTTTTCCCCCTTTAACAGATTCAGTTATGAGTTCTTTCCTAACTCTATCATAAGAAACCACATCCAGCACCATGTCTTTAAACAGTGCCATTTATAAATAAGTCTAAAAAATTCAGAGTTCTAGACCAGACTTCTACCGTGACCTTGAGAGTAGCAGGCACTTTACACTCTATTCCATAGTCTCATGTGAACAGCCAACAGCCTTCTTCTATTTGCAAAATCCACAAATGCAGCAAAGGAAAGGAACAGATGAAGGGAGAGAGACACAGCAGTTTGCCTCCTCCAGGCTTCCTGCTTTCCCCATGTAAGTACAAGCCTGCACCACTTAAATTTACATTTAAATTTATTTGTGTGGGGGTGGGTGGGTGGGTGGTGTGTGTCACTTGTGTTCAGGTGCCTACAGAAGACAGGAAAAGGTGAATGAGCCCTTGGAGCTCAGGTCCCCTGGAGGAACAGGAAGCGTTCTTTTAAAAAGTAGTTTTGGAATTATAATATAATTACATCATTTCCCTTTGCCTTTTCTTCCTCCGAAATCTTTCCCTGTACTGCACCTTGCTGTCTTTCAAATTCAGGGCTTCTTTTCTTCTTTAACTGCTGTTTTGTATATACATATATATTCCTCAATACGTAAATAGAACCTGCTCAGTCTCTATAGTGTTATTCGTATTTATGTTTTCAGGAAGGACTATTTAGTACTGAGTAACCAGTTGATGGACTCTGAGCAACCGCTCTGGCCCCAGCATTCCATCAGTCCAATAATTAGTCATATTAAAAACCTAGTACCTTAGTAAAATGATGAATTCTAGGATGGAGACAGTAGAGTTCCAAGATGAACCTGAAGCATCATATAGTACAGAAAGAAAGGAACTCAAAATATTCATAAATACATTACCAGCAAGGCTGAGGTTATACCTTAGTGGCAGCTCATCTGCCTACCATGCTTGAAGACCAGTGTTTAATCTCTCACACCAGGAAAAGAGGAAGAAACAAAAGACTCAACAATCACCAGAAAGATCTGTCAGTGGCCAAAGTTAGAACAATGTAAGCAATAAAAATTAGGTAAATACACTATGCATTCATAACCCAAAGAATAAAAGCAGTTAAAATGATTGTGTAATGAAACAAATGATTGGAAAATGCCTGAGAAGGAAAATTTTCTTACAAAGATCTCCAAATAACATGGCTTGCGGCCCACTCCTGACAAGAAGGTGAACTGGATTTAGTGAACAAAATAACGTGAGGCTGTGGCACAGCCAGAGATGAAGAAGGCTAATAACTTTGTGTGTTTTCTCCATTGGATCCTGGGTCAAGAAAGGACATTCTTAGATAAACTAAAAATCTGTGGGAGTTACTTGGTGGTATTATCTTGGTGACATTTTCTTGGTTTTGACAAGCGTGTCGAGATTGTGTATGAAATTAACACCGGGGAAAGCTGGGCAAGACATTCAAAGGAATTCTCTATGCTTTGTTTGCAAAGTCCCCATGAATCTAGAGGGTTTTTTTGCTTTTTTTTTTTTTTGTTTTTTTGAGACAGGGTTTCTCGGTGTAGCTTTGCTCCTTTCTTGGAACTCACTCAGTAGCCCAGAACAGCCTTGAACTCATAGAGATCCACCTGCCTCTGCCTCCTGAGAGTTATTCTAAAATAAAAACAGCTATTTCATGGATGAGACTACAGCTCAGTAGTAGAGGGTTTGCTTATCACATGTGAGGTATTGCGTTCAAGTCTGTTGTTGTTGTCGTTGATTTTTTTTTTAACTCAGGCTTTTGGGTGGGGGGCGGATACCCAGCTCCCAAATCAATGCACACAGAGTTTTGTTCTTTCTTATGAATGCATGGCCTTAGCTTGGCTTGTTTCTAGCCAGATTTTCTTAACTTAAATTATCCTGTCTATCTTTAAAAGACTGAAGGAAGCTGCCCCTGGTGGTGCCCACCTACAATCCCAGCACTTGGGAGAAAGAGGCAGATGGATATCTGTCAGCCTGGTCTATAGAGTGAATTTCAGGACAGCCAGAGCTACACCAAGAAACTTGGTCTCAAAAACAAAAAACAAAACAAAACAAAAACAAAAACAGAAGAAAGGAAGGAAGGAGGAAGGAACTGCACTTCTGCTATTCCTGGCTCATGCCTAGAGTACTTAGTGTTCATACAGAGAAACCAGGATATCCATGTTTACTGAAACACTACTCACCATAACGAAACTATGGAATCAGGTGTCTGTCAACAAATAAAAATATAAAGCACAAGAGAGTTCTGTTTAGCCATAAAAAAAAGAATGAAATTATATCATTTGCTGGTAAATAGATGCAACTGGAAATCAACCTATTAAATAAAATAAGCCAGACTTAGAAAGACAAATATCACATGTTTCTTGTGTTTGTGAATCCTGGATTGTATATACAGACAAAAAAAAAAACCCATATATTTGTGAAAATACAAGTGAGATTAGGCAGCAGAGAGAGACTAGAAGGAAAAAATGGAAGGGCATGTGTATGAATATGGTTAAAACATATGCCTTATTTGAATGAAAATGTTTTATGAAAACAATCACTACATACATACTATATAAGTTAATTAAAAAGACAAACATTATTTAATTTGTACCATCTAAACTGTCCCAACTTTAAGCGCCAAGAGCTTTGTTGGGTTGGCTCCTGTGTGCTTTCAATAAACCTAAACATATACAAAGCTCTGCAAATCAAAAGCAACAACGAAGCCAAAATAAAGCCCTTTGTTTACAAAAAGTCTAGAATCATGTCAGCTCTGCCTTGCAGATGTCTGGAATGTGGCCACTTCTCCCTATAGACCCTGTTCCCACACTGCTCTATGTCCCACCTGGCCTTCTTGCTTCTTCTCTTGCCTGTTCCTACAAGTGTCAGCTCCTGCCTGTCATCTTCTGCTTTCTGCTCTCTCCCTCTTGAAAGCAGTATTCTCCTGCCCCAGGTATAGATGGCCCACTCCCTGACCTCATCGGGCCTTTACCAAAGTACTCTGGACAAGGATCCCATTACTGACTTACTGTTCTTCATATTTTCTAACTCCACATCCTTTGTCTACATCTCAAATTTGTAATGTAATTTTATTTGCTTGCTTATAATCTACCTTGACTACTAATACCAATATTATTAGCATGGACAGATTACCTTATTGAATAAATAAAATAGTTGTCAGGAAACATACGAAATGCTGTAATTGTACCCCACAGTGTAAGAGTGTGCATTTTGCCTCATTTTTTGGAAGAGCAATATGTCAGTATGTATTGTGTTGACTGCCTCCGCTTGATACATCTATCTACGAAGTTGAAGCAGCAACATATAAGAATACTTTTAAAATATTATGTATTGGGGCATGTTCATAGTAGGATAAAAACTATAACGGAGGGGAAACTTCCACAGAGGAGCAGTTAGCTAAATTTTACATGCCTGTATGTTGGAATGTTACGCAATCATTGAAAAAAGTAAAATGAAACCAGGACAACCAACATTGGGAAATTCCATGAAGTGCTACAGAGGGAGAAAGCCAGTTTTCAGAATAATATACATGATTCATGTTTTCACAGAATGCTTTCATGGGAATATGTATATTTAGATTAGAACTTGAAAGGTTATAAAGCAGACTGTGGAAGAGTTACCTACAGAGGAAAGAGAGAAAAATTGGATTAGAAAAGAAGAAAGATGAAGCAATTTCTGTGATATGAAGATAAATGAAAACACGTGTCTGTATCAAATCCATCAATTTTAAAGCTCCCAACTACTTATAAACATGCTTGCAAACAAACCAGAACAAAGTGTCCACAGTATTTTAGTCTATTTTCAAAAATACTTTGGATTTTTAAAGTTGATACTAGGGTTCCTTAAACTCACAAAGAAAATGGAAAATTGCTGCAAAACATTGATCAGGCTCCCAGGAAATGTGTAAGTTCTTACAGATGGTCTTGGGAAAACATCTAAATTGAACACTGTGTCCATATACTTTCTTGCTCAACCATAGAAAATAGAAATAAACTCTAAGAAAGAATAAGCAATGTCCACTGGCATGAATGAAGCTCAGAGCTCTTCAGTGTTTGTTTGCTGGCTCAACTTCTAATTAATTCAGCAGCCTCAGGTGTTGTGGGATTTTTGTACACTGTGTGGAGGTGTTTAGGTGCGATTGGTGTAATAAAAAGCTAAACAGCCAATAGCTATGCAGGGAAAATAGGTGGGACATATGAGCATAGGGAGGAAAAGGGGATGAATCTAGGTGCACAGAGAAACTGCCGGGAGGAAGCAGGATGGGTGATACATAGCAGAACATCGCTTAATAGAAATTGACTAATTTAAGTGATAAGAGCCAGTTAGGAACAAGCCTACGCTATAGGCAGAACTTTCATAATTAATAAGAAGTCTCCACACCATCATTTGGGAGCTGGCAGTTCAGAGAAAGAGTTGCTACACTCAAGTGCCTGACTTAATAGTTACGGTGGGTATTTTCTGTCATGCATACCTCAGTCTAGAGGGTATGAATGCCCAAATAAGGTCTTAACTGATGGCCAGGGCAACCTTGACAACTTTTATTCTCTTTCAAGACGGAAGGGATGTCTTAGCAGTTAGTAATGTGTACTGCTTTTGCAGAGAATCTTGAGTTCAGTTCCTAGGGTCAATATCCAGCAGCTCACAACTACCTGTAACTACAGCTCCAGGGGGTTCTGATGCCTTTTCTGGTTTCCACAGCCATTGCACTAGTTGAACATGACCACACATAGATAAACAGAACTAAAAATATGGACACCAAGGAAACAAGGTCTGCTAAACACTGTAGGACTGATTCACATACAAACTCAGAGATTGTGGCAGCATGCACAGGGCCTGCACAGGTCTAAGTCAGATCGGGTCCCAGCACTGAGAGGGGAAGTGGGCACAATCCCATCCTTAACCCAGAAGTTATCTCCAATTGATAACCACTTGTAAAGAAAACAACTGGAGGGCGGGGCCGGGAGGAAGCCGATGCGCGCTGTGTGGAACTGACGAGACCAAAACTGCAGGAGAAAGGACAGTGAGGTACAACGAGATGGAAGGATCTTGGATTTGATTGATGATGCTTGGCGGGAAGACAAGCTGCCATACGAGGATGTTGCGATCCCACTGAGTGAGCTTCCCGACCCTGAGCAGGACAACGGCGGCACCACAGAGTCTGTGAAAGAGCAGGAGATGAAGTGGACAGACCTGGCCTTGCAGTGCCTCCAGGAGAACGTCCCACCAGCTGGAAACTGACACTGGCTTTCTTTCCCATGGATCGGGTCTTCAAAAATATGTAGATAAAGCGTGTTTCCTCTCTGTCTCCGAATTCAGATCTTTGAGTAATAAATCAACACTCAACAAAAACAAAAAAGAAAGAAAGAAAACAACTGGCTTTTTCCAATGGGGTCTCACTAGGTAGATAAACCACTCTTCAGGGCAGGCCTCATGCCCAGGAGTAGATGGGGAACACAAAACGAACTCAGTGGAATTTTCTGGAGGTTCTTTGTGTCATATGCTTTACAGGGCATTTTTTTCTTACCTTATCAGTAATTTGCATATATTTTATGCTTCCCAGTTTTCTGTTTTTATAGGATTTCTGCATGTACCAACAGGTGTGGCTCTATGTCTATATCTATTTCGTGTGCTTTTTCTTTGGTCATCTTTCTTCTGTTTGTTTTGTCTAATTCTGGTTTGTTTATTCTTATTTTATATTATTTTACTTTATTATAATTTTTTAGATGATATTTTGCTTTCTAATGAGAGAAAGAAAGAAAGGAAGTGAATTTGGGTGGAAAGGGAGGGTCTGTGAGGATTTACGAGAGAGGAAAATATAATCAAAATATATTGGGTGGAAAGGGAGAGTCTGTGAGGATTTACGAGAGAGGAAAATATAATCAAAATATATTGTATGAAAAATCATTTCCAATGAAGATAATAGAAAAGAAAATCATTTTCGAGAAATGGAAACCCAGGTGTGGTGGCACACACCTTTAATCCCAGCACTCACAGAATCAGGTGGATCTCTGTGAATTGGAGGCCAGCCTTATGTACATAGTGAGTTCTAGGATAACCAGGGTTACATAGTGAGACTTTGTTTCAAAAAAAAAGAAAAGAATAAATAACAGACTTTCTGATGAGACTATGTCCTCATCTTTTCTGTCAAAATAAAATGTAAGAATTATTCAGATATCCCCTCTCTCTGTAGAATATTGTAGAATATTTCCAGCACCTAATAGCAGTTTACATACTTGGTTTTCACTTGAGGAACATTGCATGTTGTAGGAAGCAGAAATGGTACATGCAATTATGTAGTTTGTCTAGTCTCAGATTCACATGCTTGTGACACATTGGAGCACGTTTTTCAAGCACAAAGTGTAAAGAAGGATCCATTCTGTATATCACATACGGAGTTTCACTGCAGAAGCCTGTTTATAAGGAGACTTCATAATAAAAATTTTTTTGCCATGAGGTAAATAATGAATAAATCTTGAATGAAAATTTTTTAAAAATACAACTACAGGTGCTGGGTGGTGGCTCATGCCACCTTTAACCTCAGCACTAGGGAGGCAGAGGCAGGCAGATCTCAGTGAGTTCAAGGCCAGCCTTGTCTACAGAGCAAATTCCAGGACAGCTAGGATTGTTACACAGAGAAACTCTGTCTCAAAAAAAAATAGAATTACAAAAACTCAGATTGAAGAATCAAATATTATTGCCATGATAACTTAATAGACAGTCCTTAGTTCCAGAGTAACAAAAGAACTATGGTTGACATATTTATTTCTCATCTTGGTGACTTTGGACAAATTACTTGACAACAATTTCTCCATCTATTAAATGAATATATGACCTATTTTTATAGTTTGTAATGAACCTAAGAAGGCATCTAAAATATGCAACTCATAACAAAATCTTCATACAACACATCTCTTATTAAAAGAAAAAGTTAAGCCGGGCGGTGGTGGCGCACGCCTTTAATCCCAGCACTCGGGAGGCAGAGGCAGGCGGATCTTTGTGAGTTCGAGGCCAGCCTGGTCTACAGAGCGAGATCCAGGAATGGCGCAAAGCTACACAGAGAAACCCTGTCTCGAAAAACAAAACAAAAAAAAAAAAAAAGAAAAAAAAGAAAAAGTTAAAAAAAAAGGGAACAGAATGTATGTTATAGATGTTTAGATCAGCATGCTTATTTACAATGACCTCAAAAGGAATTGCTATCATAGTTGCCATGTTTTTCTTCATCTTTTGTTCATAATGAGTGAATCAGTGAAGGATTCAGACTATACTAGAGTCCTCTCTCAGGCTCAGTTCAGAAAACAGAGTCTAAGAAGTAACAAAACAGAAAGAAGAACATACGTTGAGCTAGTTACAAACTTTTATAGAGTTGAGATACCGAGCAAACAGGGAAAGCTAAGAAACTCACAGGTTAGCAACAGAGGGAAGAAGAGGTCATCAACCCTCAGGCTGGGGCATAAAGGAGGAAGGGGTTATGTAAGTTGCCTGGTACTGCTGAGTAGGAAACAGACCTGTGCAGAAATTGCTCTGTGGGGCTAGGGCCACTGTGACTATCCCTTTCTCCCCGCCCCCATTGTCCCACAAGTGCCTCTTATTCGAACCCAGTAGGCATGGTTAACAAGTAAGCTGATAGCGACAGAAGTAGAAAAATGCAATTTACAGAGAAAGAGCAAAGTTTAGCTATGAGCAGAAACGAGGTGCATTGCTGACACATTACAATAATTCTCAAGCCTGAAACGACCGGGGCCCAAGGGTGGAAGGACTTGGGGCTACACCTGAACCCCCAGTAGCTATGACTGCATGCACAAGTTCTGCATAAGATCAAGCCAACCCAAAGTACCAGCATGAATCATGGGTTGTGGGGAAGGGGACAGACTCATGGAGTCCCACAACAACTGAACTGTTGGCAACTGAGGGCAACTGGGGAATGGAGAACCCCTTTTCTTCAGGATGAGGCCCCTGAGAGGCTACTCATGCTCCCAGTAGTGTGCCCTACACCCACGCACAGACACGTGGCACTAAATGAACTCAGTCTGCTTTTAAAATAGCTGGTACAGTTGGGAGGGAAAAGTGAGGGGTTGGGAAAAACTAGAGAGGAGGGAATTGGAGGTGGATTTTATCAAAGCATAATATATATGTATGGATAAATTACCAATCAGAATTAAAAGAAAAAGAGCTTGGTGCTAGGTGGCTGAAAATGCGCATGTGCGGGTTGAGTCTTCCACAGCTGCGCTGGGAAGCGTACAGTCCCATACGGCATTGAAGAAAACCCAGTTCTCCATACAGAAGACAGCCATGCTACAGTGGAGAAGGAAATACCACCCCCCTGTCCATTTCTGCCTGATGGATCTCATCTCTGTCATTCTCTATCACACACTTAGACACCTCTTTCACAGTTAGAATGGACAGGGCCTTGGCCACTTTCAGTGTCCAATCGCTGTTACCCCCGACTATTACATCAGAAGAAATGAAACTAATGGACTTAGTTATATATTGCCAACAAGAGAAGGCAAGTTAACACGGTTATGTGAGCAGGTTGTCACTTACCATAATACTTTCTCTTTCATCTTAAATAGGTTATTTAAGTTTGAAAAAAAAAAAAAGAAAGGAAGAAGGAAAAGAAACAGAGTCTAGAAAGGTAATTTCTTCCTGTCTTTTACACAGGAGAGTCACTTGTATTCTCTGACGTGTACCTCTTAATCAGACTTCAGAAAGAATACACATACACACTTGATGGAGGCATCAGAAGCCAAAACGATCGGAAAGACATGGATGTGCCCCTAGGTCTAAAGCTAGTCTGCAGCTACAGAGTGAAAGATGCTCAACTGAGCATCTACCTCCAGCACAAATAAAGAGAGTATGGGGAAATAAACTGAACATATGATTGCTCACCTAAGCCACTTGCCAAAGCACGTAAGGGGCCTGAGGAGCACCGTATCTCTCTACCCATCCGAACACTGCATCTCTGCCTTGCCAGCAACACTGGGCTTTCTTTACACCACTGTCACTTAGTAAAAGTCACAAGAGAAAATGTGAATAAATCTTGCTTAATAGAATATAAATTCTTGGAAACTGAATTGGGTAGTCATTTTTTGTGAATTTTGAGTGAGAGTTCTTACTCGTTCTGTTTGAAGAATGAACTCACCATCTCCAGATCTCTCAACACATTTCACTGTTTATTGTTGCGCTCTTGCCATGCTGTGGTGCCTTAATTTTTTTCTCTACCGTATATAACATAGTAGTTGAAAGCTGCCGTTTTTTTTCAGAATGAGTCTCTGCATCCATACACATGCACACAAAATAAATTAATTAATATGTACTTTAATTTTTTTAAAAATTGGACGTTTTAAAATCAGTTTAAACACACATACATTGCTACATCAAATTAGATTCATGTGAGGTTAAAATATTATTTTAGATAAAAAGAATAAGAGATAATAACAGTTTTATGTTAGAAAACTATTACAGTCCATCATATTAACAGGTTAAGATAAGATGATCAGATGGACTGATAGAGAATTTGATGAGGTTTAATATTCTTTATTAAGTTAAAACGCTGAATGAAATGATGCATTTTAATACAGAGAAAGCAATCTATGGACAAATGGAAGGGTGTCCCATGGAAATCACTTGAATTAAAAAAATAAATAAAGCCGGGCGGTGGTGGCGCACGCCTTTAATCCCAGCACTTGGGAGGCAGAGCAAGGCGGATCTCTGTGAGTTCGAGGCCAGCCTGGGCTACCAAGTGAGTTCTAGGAAAGGCACAAAGCTACACAGGGAAACCCTGTCTTGAAAAACCAAAAATAAATAAATAAATAATTAAAATAAACAAACAAAACCTATATCTTTCTTCATACTAAAAATAACCTATTGGAAAGTCCACCTCAAAATAAAAACAAAACACCTTTAAATCTTAATAAACACTATAAATAAAAGTATGAAATTCTACTTCGTATAAAATAAGTTAAATATACACAGAACTAATTTTTTGATATGGAAAAACATTAGAAAAACTAATCTGCCACAAACATAAATATGTACAGATGTGTCTATGTTCCAAGTCTGTTAGGGCAAGGTACCATGCAAATAAACACTCACATGTCAAAAGTGATTATATAAATTGGTCAAGTTTTGTATCAATCATTAAAGGTTTCCTCTAAGATTTAAATATGAGCATGTCATAACAGCAGTGATAAGTGATACATTCTAGAAAGTGGATACAGAGGTAGAAATATGGCTCAGTGATTAAGAACACTTGTTGCTCTTACACAGGACCTGGGCTTGATTCTAAGCACCCATATGGTTTACAAACATCTATAACTCCAGTTCCAGGAGATCCAACACCCTCCTCTGGACTCTACAG